TTTTTTATGGCACACTTAACATATTACATGCATTTTGCTTTAGGTCTTGAAATTAAATGCGCTGAATATAAAGATGATTGGGTTGTAATTATTTTTAAATTCTAGGCTTACTTAAGTCTGGTCCATACCTATATTAGAGTAACATAAGAAAGCCTATTAAAAATGAAGATTTCCGGGCCTACCTCAGATATACCAAATCACAATTCCTCTTGGAAGGTGCTAATAATATGTTTTCTAAGATTATTTTATGGTATATAATACGTAAGTGTTTATATTATAAAAACATATGAGAAATACTATATAGAAACAATTGTACCCAAGTGGTTCTTACGAAGAGTTCAACTTTTGTAGCATTAATGATGTAACATTTACCAATCAGTCCTAAGGCTAAATATTCACCATTGTTTCTTTTTAGCTGTATAGGGAAAATGAAGTGGACAGCTGAGATAGTTGACAATTAACTGCAAAATGTATATTGAAAAAATGAGAGATAATAATCTTGTTGTCATGTGCTATTTAGTTTGAATTATCAAAAGAAAGACCTCAACTTGGAGTGTCACCTTTCTTATGTATAAAAATGACTTAAAGGTCAGAAGTTAAAAGCCTGTACCATCTACATAAAGTACAGAATGCAAAGCAGAAATTAGAATTCATAGGCTGGAAGAAATTCTGGGCTGGCCCAGGGTAGAACAATAATTGATTTTATTTGGCTCAAATTCCAAGAGGGTTAAAGGGTAGATCATTAAGCTGTTCATTAACATCTGTGAGCAGCCCCCTAACTAACCTCCAGAAATGCTATTAAAACTGTAAGTGTGGTTGGGGAGACTGGAGATGACCGACAGTACTAATTACAACTGAACTAACACTAGAAAAATGAGCCCAACTTGATCTAAAACTCCCTGATACTAAAAAATTCTTCAGGAGAAATGTTGCAAGGTATACCGACTTGTGAAAATAGACAAACAAAAAAAGGTAATTTTAGGCTTTTCAGCTATAAAGATGGACAGCCCCTTCCTTTTAATGGGCACTTCTATGTGCTTTAAAAAGGAAAGACGTGCCAAAGTGAGGTTATAAAACTGTGTATACATTTAACAAGACTATGCTTTAAACATGGCAGTACAAAAGAATACATTATTTTATTCACATGATAATCAAAGGGTTTAGTTAAAAAATCATAGTGCACTGAAGATCTAGTTATGGACACAAATAAGATGGAATGAACAGTGTTTTCTTTCTTTAATCACATCATTGTATTCATAACAATATATAACTTCATTTGGAGATTATATACATTTACATTTATGGTCTGTTCAGAAGGTGCAGTCATGTACTATGAAAAATGGCATTTATTGAAGAAGATACAAGCAACATTGTACATGGGACAATAATGACTCAGTCCCCTTCAAAGTAGGCACCTTGGGACCTCACACAGTTCTCCCAATCACTATCAGCTGCCCTGTTGTATTTTCCTGAATCTCATCGATGGTCTGAAATCTCTTCCCTTTCAAAGGTGATTTTAGTTTTGGGAAAAGCCAGAAACTGCAGGGTGCCAAATCTGGGCTGTAGGGGAGCTGGGTCACTTGAGTGATTTGATGTTTCATCAAAAACTCTGCATAAGATGTGATGCATGAGCAGGCGCATTGTTGCGATGAGGCTGCCAATCACCAGTTGCCCATAGCTGTGGCCTCCTGAATCATCAGAATAGTTTCCATGGAACAATGTTCAAGCTTAATGCAAAATTTGATGCAGATTCATTGCTCTACTTGTTTGGTCATTTCGAGTGTGATGACCACATAGTACACATGTTCAACCAATGGCATCCACCCTCCCCACTGATTAGAACAGTGAAGTTGTCATTGTTCATGCATGCACATTCCAGTCCAATCTCTTTGGTTGGCAGGTCACGTTCATGTCATACAAACTGTTCTTGTTATATTAACAATGGCTGGACTTTTTATGGACAGACTTTGCATGTGTGTGTGCATGTGTGTATGTGTAATAGTATATTTGAAGCTCTTGCTGCGCATGAAGTGGTATTAGTTTTTTTTTAAACAAATTAGTGTAAATTTAGTGGCTTAAAAAAGTACAATTTTATTACCTCAGTGTTATAGATGTCAGAAGTCTGAAATGGGTTAGAAGGACTATGTTATTCTGTAATCTCAAAGAGGAAAAATATGATTCCTTGCTGTATCCAGCTTCTAGAAGCTTCCTGAATTCCTTGGCTCACAGTCCCGTATCTCTCCTCCTCCTGTCTCCATCCTCACATTTCCTTCTCTAATTCTGATGTCCCTCTAATAAGGACCCCTGTGGTTACACTGGGCCTTCCTGGATGACACAAGAATATTTTCTCCATCTCCAGAGCTTACCTCAATCAGCTGTCCCTTAGTAACGTCAGGGAACGTATCCACAGGTTTTTGTGGCTGCTACCTTTGCATCTAAGTCAGCTGGGGCATTTTCAATACAGAAGGTTAGCTTTCACTAAGGAGAAAATCCTGGTTTCTTAAGTAATCAAAGACCTGATTAAGATGACTTAAAACTTAGAAAACTGTTATGATAAAACAGATTCTTTGCCTTCTTGGCAGAAAAGTTTTCAGTTATCAGAAGCTGATCAATCATATAAGTAAACTTTGTCTTTTTAGAAGGTGAAAAATATTAAGGTTTAATACACTATTGATGTTAAAGGTTATTTTAACAATCCCTTCTAACAAATGTATTCAATCTTATCCATTTTGATCATACATAAAGTTTCTTTCTCAAGATTTCTTTTCATGAATCTTCTACAACTTTCCTTATTCCTTTCAGTTTATCTTTTGTTCTCTTACCCATTCTGAAACAACCAACTTATTTTAGGACAAACCACTTTCTTTTAATTTTCTCAGAAATGTATTTCCATACTTTATACCTCCTATTACTCAAAACATATATTATTTCCTTCAACAGTAATTGGAATTTTTAACTCTTGGATACCTTAATATTTTGTGAAAATTAAGAAGTAAGGAATTGTGAGCTGTTATACCAGTATTCTTTAGAATGATAAATTTATTAATATATTCTATAATTTCTGGAAATATATGCTTTTTCATAGTACAGTCCTTCAATGAGGCAAAGGTCTTGTTTACTAACATGTATCTTTAGTTTTACTTTAATAGCCAAAAGTTGATAAACCTATGTTAAGTAATTAATGTTTCCATTATTTTACCTTAGTTGGAAATGATATGAATATTCAATAAATTTTCATAATTTAATTTAAGGTAGCAAAACCTTGTAAGTTACCAAAGAGTCTTAGGAAGCCATTTTTAAGTACACATAAAATATAATTATTGTTAAAGTTCACCTAAAAACTTTTATTCTGTTTACATCTATTTAATTTACTTGTTCTTAGCAATTATGTTTAGATTACTTGTGGAAATTCCATCATACTGAGTTATTTGTCTTGCTGACAAATTTTGCAGTGGAGATAACACAAACTCATTTGATGAATAAGTCCAGGTAGAATAAAAATGCTATACTTAATAATAAAAACTCTAAAGACATGCCTGTTTAAATTAAATCAACATACTTAATTAGCTTAATACCAAATATTTCCCTTAGATTACAGGCACTAGAAAAGCATTTAGTTTATTCCTACTACATTTTTGAGAATTTTTAAATATAAATGTTTGTTTGAGCCGATTAAATAAAGATTTTACAAATTAGCAATATCATTTGAAGGTGGAAAATAGCATATAATACACATGAACATACAGACAGATGCAAACAGAGGCCTCCTAGCCTTTGCTTAAAAATTTTAGCCATGCGATAAGTAATAAGTTCATCTGCTCAGGAATGGTGTAAGCTTTTTTCTTATTAATATTTATGAAGACAATTAAGATTTTATTTTTCCTTAACAAGGGAACCTTCTAACCAGAACAGTGGTTTGTTCTGCTTTCAAAAAATTCCTCATTTCCTTCTCTTTCCTCCAGCCTTAGGAACTCGAGGTGATGAAAATAATTGGGCTCTGAACTGCTTTTAGACTGCATTGCTGGTTTTGCAGAGATGTGTAAGATAAAAAAGATTGCTCCTAATTTCCCAAACAACCCATTGTAACTTAAGTAACATCACAGGTTGAGCTACCTGTCCATCTACATCATCTCTAATTTCTTCTTTCCCTCTGGGCCCACAGTTTTATTTTAGCTGAGGGGAAACAGCTCACTACCCCATCAGCTTCTAATTTGTCCAAATTTTTCATCATGGAGTTTTTACATCTTTTGAAATATTTTGCCAGGTTTCACCTGGGACAACTGTAAATATTTCTGGCAGCATTAAACTATGCCATGGACTCAAATGGCCTCAAAGGGTGCAAAGGTTATTAACTTCCAGAGTCATTCTCTCTGATAGCCAAGAGAATGGACAACCTACATGTCCCAGGCAGGCAGAAGGCCAAGCCAAACCCTCAGGACCTGGGCAATACCTACCCCTGGGAGAGAAAGGTTCAGTTACCAATTGGTCTGGATTTGGGAAGAGCAAGTGTCAAATTTTATTTTCATCTTTCACTGGGCTTAGGAGGTAAGCCATTTACAAACAAACTTCTACAGGTCCTCCCAGAGTTCATCCTCTCTGTTGGGTGTGTGAGATATCCATCCTCTGACTGGTGGAAAACAAGAATGAGCAGCCCTGTTTTTACTGCCTCTGGGAGGAAAATGATCGATGTAGAAAGCTCCCTTCTAGTCTATTGAGAAGGAAATGGCTGGACAGAGAGCACAATGCACTCCGGCAAGAGCACCCTCTGGACGGTGGAGGCCAGAGAGAAAAATGTTCTCACTGGTCATAAAGGCCAAACTCTCAGCACATGATACACAATTAAAGGAGACACACCAGACACACAGAGAAAAAACAATTAACAAAATCCATGAGTACTCACACCAAGTAACCAATAGTCACTAAGCCTAAGAAATTAGTTTCACAAATATTTTATTCTGCTAATCTGCATTTAGTAAAAGGAGGGAAAAAAAGGCTCTTACCACTCTGCTGCCACCAAACTCTAGAAGTAGAAATCTGGGAATTCTTACCTTTTTGGCTGGCTCATGTTAGTGGTTCTAGGATCTCTCTGTTGCCACAGCTTCAGGTTGGGCAGGGCCCAACCTTCAAGATGTCTTTCTCACAGTGTGTACTTTCACATGCCTGTTGCAGAGAAGATATTCTCATAATGTGGCTGCTACAACTTGGTACAAAGTAATATGGAAATTACATCTTTCACCGAAGTATTCATAATAAGAAACGAATTATTTGTATCTATATAAAAAGACAGAAAAGAAACTGCTTCTCATACTGTGATATACAAATGAAGAGTCTGTTCTTCTTTTCTACACGTCTGTTAAACATTGTTAATACCATTATATAAGCTCTAAGGGTTCATAATGAACACAGCAAAATTGACATATTTGTTCTAAGAAGAGAAATAAATCAATAAAATAAATAAGTCTGACTAAAAGTAGTCAAGGATTAGTGATATATAATGATTATACATCAATTAACATAATAAGACCTTTATTACTGTGCTTTTTTCCCCCTCTCAAGATTGAGAAAATGAACACTAGCTTTAACTCTACTGTCACGTTAAAAAGAGAGCTATAAAGATCAGTATTAGTAGAAACAATTCATTTGCCTTTCCTCCTCTCTAGTAGACTCACTCCTTCATTTATTCACCTGGCTAGTCAACAGAAGGTAAATGAATGCATAGAACAGGCCGGACACAGGTGTGGTAGTGGTGCTAAAAGGTCAGGTATATTATGATGCCCACCTTTGAGTTGAGTCAGTGATCTAACAATCTTCTACTAGAATGAAGCTAAATGCTAATAATAACAATAACAGTATCACAAGTGAAACTGAGAGTACTTGGAATAATAATAAGAGCAGAACATTTATATTTTAATTTTGTATGCTTCAATCTTAACTGAGAAAAATGGGTAAAGTTACCAAATTGGAATATTTTTTAAAGATTTTATTTATCTTTAGAGGGGAAGGGGAGGAAAAAGGAAGAAAAATATCAATGTGTGGTTGCCTCTCGTGTGTCCCCTGATGGGAACTGGCCTGCAACCCAGGCATGTGCCCTGACTGGGAATAGAACTGGGGTTGTTTGGTTCACAGGCCCACACTTAATACACTGAGCTACACCAGCCAGGGTGCCTGAATTGGAATATTATAACTTGATAATATTCTCAGTGCTTAAAAGATTCCCTTTTTATAAGCTTTATATCAACTACTGGTGGGTGAATATTGATAAATATTAATTAGTAAATATTTAATTCAAATTCGCATTAATTTATTTAATCATAGTTCATTCAATACATATTTATTAAGCCTCTGTTATATTCCAGGAGCTGGGTATACAACCAGAGTAAAAAAAAGTAAGGCCCTTGAACTCATGGAGTTTACATTCCTGGGAACTAACATAATGTGCCCTGACACGGGTCCTGGCTGAGTGGCTCAGTTGGTTAGAGCACTGTCCTGATACACCAAGCTGCAGTTCCATCCTGGGTCAGAGCACATAGCAACAAATCCATGGTCCTCTCTCTCTCTCTCTCTCAAGTCAGAACATAAAAAGAAATATGCTCTGACACTCCACGTACTTCACTGCATTTTCATGCTAAACACAGGCAGCAAGGACAGTGCTAAAAAAGGGTAGGATACAATTCAGGCTGAGTATTTTTCAACTCTATACTTCTGTGCCAGGGCTTGACGGCATCTCTGCCCTTAGGTGTGCAATCTTACACAAGTTACTTTAATATTCCCCCTTGTTTCCACCTTTGTAAAAGGGATACAGTAATAGTTGGGTTCTCCTGGAGATTAAATGAGATAATGTGCGTCGAGTGTTCACCAGTTATTCCTATGACTGCTTTGGCTGTGGTTCCAAAACATTCCTGCTCATTGGAATCTGGGGGCCTTTAAAGGCATCTCAAACCCTGGGCTACACACCAGACCAATTAAACTCCAGTCTGAGGGTAGGTCATAAACGGCAGCGGTTTTGGAACACCCTAGGTGGCTTCAATGTCCAGACTGGGTTACTGATGCGTCCTAAAAGCATTTGTCCATCTACCTGCCTTTTAATGAAAGTCAGATAATCGAGGCGCACATTTTCCATTCCATCCTGTGACTTTATTCCAAATTCTTTCAAATCTTCAAGGGATGAGGGATGGGAGGAAGCCCAGACAGACCTAAGCCTTCTCATAGCTTCTACGTTTAGCGGGACCCTTTGGGTATAGGAAGGCTGACACTTGCACCTGCTGGGCCTGCCACAGGAGAAGCAAAGAGCCTGGAAACTCAGGCCGGCCGGGGGCGCTGGGCTCAGTGCAGAGGCCGCTGAGTCCGGGAGAAGGAAGATCGGCAGCGGGATCGTTCCCTGGGGACCCTCAACTGCCCGGGCGCTCCGATCGGGTGGGCGCTATCTGTGCGTTCTGCACCCCTGCCGGTGCCCGCCTTCTACCCTGCGATCCCGTCTGGGTGCCCGAGCAGCCGCTGGCGCTTTGGTCCGAAGAGAGCGGGGCGCGCCGCGCCGCCAGCCGCCATGGAGCCCGGGCCTCCTGGAGCCTCCAGGCCCGCAGAGCCGGGGCCTCGCTTGCACGGCGAGTGCGGCGCTGACCAGGCGGTCTCGGCCTGCTTGCTGTATGGGGCCGGGGCCGGGGCCGAGGCCGAGGCCGAGCCCCAGCGCCACGCGCTGGCTGTGGCGGCGGTGCTGCCGGCAGGGGGGAGCGGGGAGAGGATGGGCGTCCCCACTCCGAAGCAGTTCTGCCCCATCCTGGGGAGGCCGCTCATCAGCTACACCCTGCAGGCCCTGGAGAGGTAATGTGGCGCCAAGCGCGCCCCACGGCTCGAACCCGGCTCCGCCTCCCGCCCTCCGTCCGACCCGCCCGGGCCGGCCCGCAACACCTTCCCATGTGGCAGCTCTCGCGCGGGCGCCTTCTCTCGGCAGACTGTGGGGGCGTCTCCACCGTCTCAGCCTCTCGAGCTTGGCTTCCATTCCAGCTCGTACTTCAGAGATGGACGCTCTGCTTTAACAGACGGGCCCGGAGGCTGGGGCTGCCCTACGGAGCCCCTTAGGTGCCCAAGCCGTCCACGTGGTGGGGAAAGCCACCCCACGTCGAAGCTGGGCTAAGGACGGGCTCACGGGATGGGACGAAGGGGCAGTAGTTCTCCCTGTGGCCCCACAGGGAGAACTAATGAGGAGAAACTGTTCTTGGAGGCTCCCTGGCCCTGCCTGTCTCTCATTCATGGTCTTTCACTTTTCCTCACCTCGTCCTTTCTCGTTGGCATAGTCTTTCTCCCTCTTGTGCATGCGCACGTCCTGTCCAGCCCCCCACCCCCCCAGCATGCACATGGTTTATGAGTTTTACTTGCATGGCTGGGTTCATGGGCCTTTGTTCATTCACTTTACCCGCTCGTTCACACCCAGTAACTGAGCACATCCTATGAGATACACTGCTAATTTACTATGTGCTGAAGGTGGACCGAGGAGAATTTAATTGAAGGCTTTTAATGGTGGGAACAGATTTAAGGGTGCCATGTTGAAGCCAGCACATGCCTTACCAGGAAAGTGGGGAAATGAAGAAGTGAGAAGGTATGGAACAAGGAGGACTAGAGGAGCTGTAGCTTGGAGCTAAAGAGGTGAAAGAGGGGTATGTTATTTTATTAGTCTTATCTATTTTATTAGTCTTGATTTTAGCCCCAGGTAATGGGAGGGAGTGTGGGGTAAGGCTGGAGGCATGAGAAGCAGGGGGGTTGCAAAGGCCCACATTCCTGTTGCTGAGGTGTTTGAACTTCTTGAAGCTAGTGGGGAGCTGTGGTAGTATGTTTAAACCTTGACTGATGTGAACTGTTTGCAATTAAAGATAAATGACATCTTTTAGTATCCTTTGCAGGCTACTTTAAGGAAAAGGAAATAGGTTCTAGTTAAAGGATGGCTGCATGTTATACACACAAAAAAAGAGTTCCCCACCATGCGTTCACACGCTCCAGAAGCCAGAGGGCCTAAGTTGCTTTGCATATCGTTAATTTTACTTTTTGAATATTGTCATTTGGAAAATGGAATTATAAAAAGCCCTAATCACCTCTGATTTATATAATCCACCCTGTGCTTACATCTGAAATTCATAGAAACCTTGAAACAGTTCTAGGCGCTTCCTCTCCTGTTCTGTAGTCTTCCATTTCTCGGGGTAGTTGAGGGTGAGTTCCTTGAAGCCATGTACGGATCATGCACCTACAATATTCTAGTGTCACAGACACTGTGACAACATGGCCCATTTGCACAGTTAATCCTATGGAACACGATGGATCTTTTTCAGCAGGGCCTTTTTCTATTTAGTAATTAGATATAGAGGAATAGAGTCATTTTACATTTAACTTTTCTTTCTATGAAAACTTCTATGTTAAACTTGCAGTTTTGCATCTCAACTTATGAGGCAGCCTGAGATAGGTGGATACTAAAAAAACTTTTAAAGTAAAAGAATATTCCGGAAAGATCCTATTTATGGAAAATAAAGCAACACTTGTTTTCCATTTTTATTTAATTGTTAACAGCAGCCATAAAAATCTTAATAGGGACTAATCAAAACCTCCATTTTAAAATACACCAGGGCTCATTTTTGTCACTATTCCAATGCCTGAAGAAATTATGGAATATTATATTTTGGGTATGTCTCTGGAAATCCTCGGATACCTTGCATTCCAGGAATGTATGTATAGGTGCTTCTTAGATGTTTGGCAAATGAAAGCCATTCTCTTCTTTTGGTAAAAGATGGGGTCTCTGGACTGCTGATACTTTTCCTACAGCCTGGTACCAAAATGCTCAGGTTATTTCATCCTGAAAGATAAATTATTCAAGTTCAAATAAGGAAAGGAAATGGAAGCATAGAGTGTCTTGTAAAATTCTTATTTTTTGCTTTTTGGAGAAATTATACCTGCTTACTACTTATTAAAGGTGTAGCAGAGTTCTCAATAAGAGTTCTCAGTCACATCCTGTATAAGACAAGATGTAATTGGGTGTCATCACTATCAATGTTCCAGGTGCTGAGTGTGAGCTCCCCTTCCCCTTTAACAGCTGTGACTGTGTAATGTCCAGAGTTTGACTTTTCTTTCAATAGGTTTTTCCTTGCCCAAGCTTTTGCCATCTCACTAATAGAGGGTTGAGCAGTTTTTGTGAGTAATCTTCGTTTCTTAGTTCTTTCTTGACTAAGAAATTAAAGATACTTTTTGAAAAATAATCCTTATGGGTCAGTTTCTTTTTTTTGGAATTTGGAACCAACAAACTTCTTAGAGCTTAGGATAGAGAAGGAGGGCACCCAAAGTTTGGCCCCAAATTCTTGAGTTGAGATAGGGAAATGTAAAGAAACGCAACCAGTGTGACTTTTATTTTTTAAATTTCTTTCGCCATCATAACTTTTAAACAATGCTACTAACACATGTGTTTATTTCCACTCCTTCATTTAGTTTCACCCAAAGGGACTAAAAACATACAGCCACATTAGGGAAAAATAAATGCCTCAGCAAGAAGAGCAGATGAAAGATAAAACTCTGGAAGAAAGGTGATAGAGTAGTATTAACCAATCAGATTTAACAGGTCCAAGAAAGTGGAAACATGAGCCCTGAGGTAGAACATCTATAAAGAAGCAAGTTGATGGGTTATAGGACCTTTGAACACTTCAAGAATTAAAAGTACGTGAATTAGAGCAGCAATTTTCAGGCTTTCTCATCGCACAGCACTCATAAACTAATTACTAAAATTCTGTGGCACACCAAAAAATATACTTTTTGCTGATCTGATAAAAAAAGAGGTATACTTTTGATTCATTCACACTAGATGGCTATTGTGTTGACTGTTGTCATTTTTTCTTTGACAGTCTAAGAGAAAAGAGATCAGGGTCCCTGACTTAACAGTCAGGTACTGCATGCTTTAAAGAGTCTTGCAGCGCACTGGTGTGCCACACACTGGTTGAAAGTCACCGTGTACATGTGACTGAGAAGATGGAGAAGAACTTGATAGAAAAAAAATCTATCTTGTGAATTGACTGGGACTTCAGATTTTTGTTTGTTTGTTTGCTTTGTGTTTTTCTGCTGGCAAAATGGGAAAAGGACACATTTTTCTAGTTTAGTCAAGTTCTACTTGTACACCATTTCTTCGAGAACTGTTGATCAGATTAAATGAGATTCAAAAGAATCTCTGAAACCTCACAAATCTGAGATGTTGGCTAAAAGCTCTAGCTATCTAAATCAGTTGTGTGGAGATATCTTTATTATAATTAACCATTATATGTATGTATAGACATGAACAAGTGTATATGTATCTGTTTATATATGTTCACATATGTTCTATGCTAAGATTATGCAACTGGTAGTTCAGATCTGTATATTATGGGTACAATTAAAATAATCAAGTATAACAACCAAATTCTTAGTTGTACTAAAAACAAGGGCTTTTCAGAAGTTGATTAAAGTTTCTAGGAGTTTGAAAGTTTATTTTGGCCTTTTAGAAGGAATTGCAATATAAATTATTGAGCCACAGATTATATAACTTGAAGAGAACTTTGATTTTTTTTTAATTTTACTAACAAGAAACCGAGATCAAGGGTATTAATCTTTTACATAACTATTTATGACTTGAGTTTCTCAAGGAAATGTTGCTCTAAGAAAATAAATCATGGGAAAGGGGTATGATTGGCAAGGGCGTGAAGCTCTGAAAGTTAAATTATAAAATCCAACCACAGCCGATAGATTCATATGTTTAAATTTTACTTAAAAAAATGTCTTTTCACAGTGACCAGAGGGGAGAGGGGAGGGAATTTCAGGGGGGAAGGGAAGGGTTTACAGGAACAAGTATAAAGGACACATGGATCACAACTAAGGGGGGTGGAAATGGGAGGCAGGTGGGGAGCACTGGGTGGGTGGGCTGGGATGGGAGTAAAAGACAGAAAACTGTACTTGAACAACAATTAAAATAAATAAATTTTAAAAAATTAGAAAAAAAGTCTTTTCAGATCTGAACTAGGAAGTAGAAATTCCTGCCAGTAATCTAATTTTTGGTTTCAAATATCTAAGGCAAGAAAGCGTCATTAAGGAGGGTCAGACAATCTGCACTAGCTAAATAGATTAAAGTGACAACCACAACAAAAGCAAGTTAGAGATGCAAATTTTGGCTTATTCAGATTCTTTGTGGTGGGCTGGGTGGGGTGGGAAATTCTTCTGACAGTAGATTCTGGCACATTCTTCTCTATACTCCTGAGGTTCCTCCAGTTCTTCCAGGTGAAGGATCTTGCTTGAGGTAACTTGTTCCTTGATATGGTTCCATGCTCATCAAAAATCTTGTTATAAGTTGGCCTCCCATACACATGTTCTATAAGAGAAAAATATGCTGTCCCACTAATAAAGAGCATAGTGCTATAATGATAGTAATGTATGTCATTTTACATTAAAATATTGACATTCTAATTCATGTTTCTGTCCTTTATTAGTTTAGTTAATATAAATTGGTCTTCTCCAGTCTGCCAGCTCTAGATGAATTCAAAGGGAAAAAAATCTGTTTTGTCCGTATGTGTTTGTTATGGAAACTATTTTGTGATTGAGGTTGGATTGTTACCTTATTGCTTGGAAAATCAATTGAAGTTCATTTTTAGTAAGTGTTCAAGACTCCATAGTATGTCTTTCAAAGTATTAACTTATGGATCATAAGATTTTCTGTTTTCTCCTTGTCTTTCAGTTTTGTTTCCTATGTACTTTAGAAAATTGTTCTTTCTTATATTTCTGAATGCACTGCAAATTCTGTGTAAGATAGAATAGAAATAAATACATAA